ACCCACACCCACACCCACACCCACACCCACACCCACACCCACACCCACACCCACACCCACACCCCACACCCACACCCCACACCCACACCTTCTAGTTTTATCAGATGAATTTTTATCGAAATGTTTGAGTTGTGGATGAAGAGTGGTGGCTAATAATGTTCATCTTGAGGTGTCCACGTAGTCACGGACTGGTCGAATATTATCTAATTATTAATCTACGTAGTTAATGTTTTTTCTTAAAGCATTACTTAACCTCTTAGTAGCCCTCAAAACCTATTCTATATCATAGCTATTTTACTTTCATCACTCCCATAGATACTGGTGATCTAACATGGGAACAGTTCTTATTATTTGATTCTCTAAACAAGTATAGAAATATTTCTCAAGTATATCTGAATGTGAAGTGAACTGCGCAATCTACTGCACATGAAAAGATTCATGCGGGTAAATACCTATGAATTTCTTTACTTGAATCAAACTATCGTCATCATCATGGTGAACAACACAACAGTTAAGAAGATACATGACGAAGAGGTACACCAAGATGAATTGTTGGACGTTTTTCATTGCTCAGCTTCTCGATTAGTTCATCGAAATGGATAAGAAAACTGCACAATTGCTGTAATAGTTGCTCGTTGATGAGAGAATAAGAAAGAAAATGGTTTGCATTAAGTGTTTGCGGTATTTCCTCAAACATCTCATTAAAAACATAAAACATGCAGAATGCATCAATGAATCGAGTCTTTGAAAAAATCTGAAGTTTCTTCAATAGCTTATTTTGTCGATGTGCAAGTCGAATATATTCGACGATTTCTTTTACTAAACAGAACAGTTTTTGTACTTCCTGCAATTCGAAATTTTTGTCATTTGTAAATGTTTTCTCAAGTATTTTGTTCAGATAATGATCTGAACATCTGATGCGTTTTAAATCAGCAAAGGCGCAACGCATTTTATTTTCGTTGTCAGATACAACATATGATGATGTATCAAGTGATAAACCAAATTCTGCAAGAACAATATTAACAAATCTTCTAATACTTAAACTTTTTTGATTTTCAAGTTCATAAGCTCGACAACAAAGTACAAATGGTTAAAGTTGAAATTGTGGATTAACATTATGCAAGGATATACCAACGTAATGAATTCTTGAAAATAAAATATTTAAGAAAAAAATATAAAAAATAAGTGCAAATAAACTATGCATGATGCTTCCGTTAATGCAGGTTTAGAAACTTTCCGAATCCGTAACCTTTCGAAGACAAAAGTTGTTCTTTTATTTCTCTAACGAAAAATGAAAATCAGTTTTGATACAAAGAAAAAAGGTTTTTAAATCCATCTGGTAAGAATGCATAACAAGAACTACAAGTTTTCTTAACGCAGCTATAGCATGATGCTACATTTGTGATTTGTATATGAGAAACACAAAGCCCATGTACTGACTGATGGTTACCTGTGAAACACTCGATCCACAAATCAACTGTAATAACAAATGACTTGATTGTTTGTAATAAACTTATTAATTAAGATTTTCGTTCTTCATAGATTCGATCTACATGACGACTTATCTAAAAAGAAAAAAAACTGAAGAGGTAAAAAAAAAGAATTTTAACTTTACCGTTCGAGAATCAGCAATTAAATCACATGCACTAACAGTAGACGATTCGAGTAAAGTGCGACCCGCACCAAGTACACATTCGATGAGATTTATAAAATCTGAACCATTAACAATCTCAAATGGTCTACTATCAAGAACAATGAACTCTGTTAATGCATTTGTAATTTTATTTTTCAGTTTGAGAGGAATACAATTCGATTTATTTTTTGTTGAATTAAAATATTTTGTTATTTTAGTTTCATTAGGTTCATCAAGTAAATTAGAAATTTTACGACAAGAGTCAACATACTTTTGCATGCCACCAGTACCAGCAGCTGCTTTGTAAGAAATAATTGATTTACATGAATCACAAATAACATAATCTTGTTTGTTTCCTTGAAAGTGAATGATACTGAAATGAGTCCGAAGTTTGAACATAGTGTCCTTCTGTTTCGATTTTTGAAAAGTTACAGAAGAATCATTGTTTAAAACCGATTACAACAAATTTTCTTTGAAGATATTTTTTTCCATCGTGATTGAACTCTCTATCCAATCCTAAAATCAGATATATTTTGTTGTTTATGAGGGTGGCGGGATGTTCGCCAATAAGACTTTCGCCAACAGGACATTCGCCAATGGCGAAAGTCTGGGGGATATATTGGCGAAAGTCCACTGTACTTTCGCCAATTGACGAGATTCCAGGGGATATATTGGCGAAAGTACAGTGGACTTTCACCAAT